GTGGCTGTCTCTGAGAAGAATGGGAATCCCAGAGTCCTTAATTGTGCTTATGAGAAACCTATACTTGAACCAGGAAGTAGTAGTCAGAACAGAGCAGGAAAACACTGCATGGTTCAGGATTAGGAAAGGGGTGCATCAGGGATGCATCCTATCCCTGTACCTTTTCAATCTGTATGTGGAACACATAATTCAGGAGGCTGGACTTTATGAAGAACGTGGCATCAGGATTGGAGAAAGACTCATCAACAACCTGTGTTATGCAGATGATACAACCTTGCTTACCAAAACTGAGGACCTGAAGCATTTGCTGCAGAAGGTCAAGGACCGTAGTCTTCAATATGGATTGAAACACAACGTTAAAAAAAAAAAGATTCTCACTACTAAGACAATTGGCAGCTTCATGATAGACAAAGAAGAGAATGAGATGATGAACAGCTTCAGCTGGTTTGGTTCCACAATTAACATTCTTGGCACCAGCAGTTAGGAAGTCAAAAGTCAAATTGCACTGGGCAAGTCTGCTGTCAGGGACCTTTCCAGAGTACTGAAGAGCAACGACGTCAGGCTGGAGACTAAGGTTTGCCTGATGCAGGCCATGGTCTTCACAATTACTTGCTATGTGTCAGAGAGCTGGACAATGACTAAGGATGACAGAAGAATTAATGAGAACAAACAGGTTCATTCTAGAGAGGGTGAAACCATACTGTTCCTTGGAGGCAAGAATTTTAAAGCTTTGTCTCACATACTTTGGGCATGTGGCTAGGAGAGACCATTCTTTGGAGAAGGACTTCATGCTTGGAAGAGTGGAGGGACAGCAAAGGAAAGGAAGACCCTGGATGAGATGGATTGACAGGGTAACTGAAGCAATGGGATTAGGTGTGTTAGAGATGAAGAGACCGGCTCAGGAGACAGCACCATTCAGAGCTATTGTACATAGTGTTGCTATGAGTCACAGGCAACTCAACAACACATAACCAACCAATTTTTTACAGTCTGAAATTGATTAAGTAGGTCCAGAAACTCTATGTACGAACAGTGCTCAGGCCCTTCATTCACAGGGTCACTATGAGTCGTCTACGACTCGACGGCACCTAATAACAACAATGACGACATACAGAGAGCTACATGGGCCTAGTGGACAGAAAGTTACGCTACCAAGCCGAAGGTGGGTGATTTTCATCTGTGGCCCTCAGGCCAGGTTCAAATTGTTTTCCTGTCAAACATTCTTCTAGGTGGGACAACACTTGTCTGTGCATTGCTGTACAGAGGTAACTGTGGTTGCTGTGATGCTGATGTGCCAATCGTGGTAATGGTTACCCATGGTGGACGGTGTTGGCTGGAGCTTCCGACTAAAACAAGCCTGGGAGCAGGAGCGGCATCCACTTCCAAAATGGCTTGCCTCCGGAAACTGTATGAACTGTGCTCAGGCCTTTCATTCATAGGGTCGCTATGAGTGACGACTTGACGGCACCTAACAACAGCAACAACAATCAATAATTGACGACAGGAATGCCAAAGCTGGGAATAAAAAAGATGGATTGGTAGTTGGAAAATATGGCCTTGAAATTAGTCTGGAGAGCAGATTATACAATTTTGTACAACAAATTATTCATTGAAAATACTCTAAAAAATATGATGATGATACACATAGACGTCACATGATGGACTACAAAGGAACTGGACTGACTACATCTGTGGAAAGAAATGCGAAGCTCAATAATGCAGTCAAACGAGGCTCGGCTGTAGAGGAGACCATATGCCAGCTCAAACTGAAAAAAATGAAAACAAGTCCAAGAGAACCAAATACGGGCTTGAGTAGATCACAGATGAATTTAAAAATTATCTGCAGATGTGACAGCTTGAACATCAATAACTGAAGACCAGATGAATTATGTAATAAAATGAAGGATATCATTTGTTAAGACAGAAAAGGTCATTAAAATGAGATGGGGGTGGGGGGAAAGAGAAGACCAAAATGGAGTCAGAAGAGACTCCACAACCTGAAACAGATGCCAAAGCAGGGGAAGACATGCTGAAGTAAGAGCCAAATAGGAGATTTCAAAGGGCCCCATGAGACAACAACGCAAGTGTTAGAATAAAATGTGCAAGGAGCTGGAGTTAGTAAACCAACCGAGAAGGACATGCTTGGCATTTCTGCAGCTGAAAGAACTGAAGAACAAATTCAAGCCTTGCGTTCTAACACTGAAGGATTCTATATGCAAAATCTTGAATGATGCAGGAAGTAGCGAAGAAGGTGGAAGGAATAGTCACTGAACCAAAAAGAATTCATCAACACTGAACCATTTCAGGAAGCAGCACATATCAAGAACCGACATTATTGAAGGAAGAACTTCAAGATGTACTGAAGGCATTCACAATAACAACAAAACAACAAAAGGCCCCAGGAATTGATGGGTCACTTGAAGTGTTTCAAGAAAAAGAAACAACTCTTGGCAAGCTCACCAGACTCTGCCGACAGACGTGGATGAGTCACCTGGCCAACTACCTATAAAGAGATTCATTATTTGTTCCCATTCTCAGGAAGGGTGATCCAAAGGTGGAAATTACTAAACAATTATCATCACCATCACATGCAAGTTAAATCTGCTGAGGATTATCTAAAAATGGCTAGAAGCGTACTTTGACAGAGAACCATCAGAATTTCAAACGGAATGAAAAAGAGGCACAAGGATGTCACTGCTGATGTCAGGTAGATTTTAGCGGAAAGCAGAGAAGACCAGAGAGGTATCTACTTGTTTTAGCTAAGCAAATCCTCTGTGAAGCTGGACTCTATGAATAGGAGTGTGGCATGAGGATTGCAGAAATACTCAACAACCGTGGTTATCTAGCTCAGAGCCAGCAGCGCGTGAAAGGCTGCAGTCAAGGGCGATAACCTTCAGTGTGGCTTCCTAGTGCGCAGCTCCCGCATTCCAGCTCTTCCCTTTGAGCTCCCACCTCTGCCTCTGCTAGGAGGCTTCCGATTCAGGAGACTTCACAACGATGCAACAAACTAGACATCAATAGAAAGTAACATTTCCTTAAAAATATTTTTAAAGAGAGAAGTATCTTTTTAGTATAGAAGGTTTCCACCTTATCAAGCTGGAGCCCTTATCCTCTTTGCCGAGGAGAATTTTAAGGAAGACCTTATCAAGTGTTAAGGGTTGTGGTGTGCCTCTCCACCCAGCAAGCTACAGTGGGATACCTCTCCTTTCCAGGAATGTAACAGGATCCCCTGACACCCTATCAAAGATTACTTTTTCAATGAACAGGAAGGGAAAGTTTAACTGTTTTTAAGTGAATTACTGGTAGCTTTGTTTTGAACTCCTGATTCCTTGCCTCTTTACCTAAGTGCTGGGATGGTGAGGCTAGGGAAGGCCAGTGGCGTCCAGCCCAGGACCACGCTCTAAAGGAGCAGCACTGGCCTCCGAAGTCCTCTCTTAACGAGCCCTAAGTCTGTGGAGAGCTTTCAGGTGCCATTCGAGTGACCCAGGCACGGCCTTCCAGGCGGCAGCCACCTTGACAGGGCATGTTCCTTGATGAACAAGTACCTGCCTGGAAGCCACCTTGAAAGAAAAGCCCACAACAGCTCACGTCCTGTGTGGATTCACAGTAACTGGAAAGTGACCATCTTAGAGGCCACTTGTGTTTGCCTACGATCTGCATAGTCCACTACCAACTCCAAGGCCTCTGTTGTGAGATGTGGCAGTGGAGTCCAGTCTGCACAGTGACCCCATCAACAGGTCTGCGTCCCGCCCTGTCCTGTGTCGTCCTCATCCTGACACACCTGAGCCCATCACTGCGGTTTACAGCCTCGGGAAACCTGCTGGCAGGCAGATCAGCTGTGAGTTGCTTCCTCGTCCTCCCCCGGCCCCAGCACGCCTGGCAGTGTCTCCGAGAACCTTTCCTTGCTGAGACACACTGGGAAGGCCAGCCCCTCTGGCTCCGAGGAGCCCCAGAATGCAGCTGCTTCTCCCACCCCAACTCCCGTCTGTCTGCAAGACCCGGCTGCCGTCCGCGGCCTCGGCACCACGAGAGCAGAACCGGCTTTCCGGGGACCATGGTGGGCAGGTGTCTCACCGAGGACTGTCAACCCCTCTCTAAGGACTTGAATGAGTCATCCCCCAGGATGAATGGTCATTCCCCCCACGACTGAGCGGGTCATCGCCGCCAAGGACAGAATACACTCGGCCCCGCTCCCCCGGGATTTCCTCCTCCGGGTCTCGGCGCCTTCCCGCCCCCGCCCCACCTCTCCCATCGGGTCTGGGCGGACAGGAGTCGGGGGTGGACCAGAGCGCGTCGTCACTTCCGGTCCTTCAGCGCTCGGAGGGCCCACTGCAGGGGCCCGCGGCCCCCGGTGAGGGGCAGCGCGTCGCTCACCCTCGCTCGCCGGCTCTCGGCTCCTCGGAACCCCCGGAGCGGATATGAGAAGCTGCACAGCGCGGACGCCACGCGCGAGCCTCCAGCCTCCAGGCGGAACCATTGCGCAGGCGCACCCCGACGCCCGCCGGACGCTGAGCCGAGAACCAGCCGGAAGGCGGCCGGAAGCGGCGGGGGCGGTGGCGGCGGACTGGCTCGCGCACGCGCAGTACAGGAGGCCGAGCTCCGGCCGCGCGTGCGCAGTGAGGGCGGGGCCGGGCTGCTGTCAGCTGACTCGGCGGCGGCCCCGCGTTGACAACTGTCGGCGTCGCAGGCTCTGCAGGGGCCGCAGGACCACCCCGGCCGTCCGCCGCGGGGCCCGAGAGGCGCGGAGTGACCTCAGCGTCATGGCGACCACCGTCAGCACGCAGCGTGGCCCGGTGAGGTCCCCGGCGGTGCGGGGCTCGGGCGGGGGCGGCGGCCATCGCGGCGGCGGCGGGGGGCGAGCGCCGGGCCGTGTCCGCTCGGTGTCCGCTCGGCCCGAGGGCCCGCGCGTCCTTTCCGACGGGCGGCGGGGACGATCACCGCGGCGCAGGGCCCCGGTCCTCGGTGGGCGGTCCTGGAGGTCCATCCCCGGTCCTGACGGCATGCGGACCCCCAGCGGGTCCTCTCCGTGTCCCCGAGGCGGTCGCCCGTCCTTCCCGAGAGGAATCCTTTGCGATCGCAGCCCGGCTGCTTCCCACGAGGCCACGCCCGCAGCCGGGGACCGCACGGGGTCTTCTCAGGGCCCCCTCCGGACACCGCAGGTGGACATCGCCGGGGTCAGTGGCGCTCGGGCTCCGCCACTCCCCGCAGCGCCCTGACACGTTGCACAGGCAGATGGCCTCCGCACACAGGTGGAGGTGGAAGTCGGGCGCATCATCCAGGGGCGGAGGAGAGACCTCTGTGCCTTCAGCCGTCTGTCCCGAGTTCTCTGGGGACCCCCCCGTGTCTCGGCCCTCCCGGGGGCCCCCAAACACGCACTCCTGCCGGGGATCTGCATTTCCTCCCCTTCTGCCCTTAGTCAGATGAACCCTCTTAAGGCCTCGCCCCAAGGGGCGTTCTCCTTAGATCCAGGTGGGGTTGGGGTGGAATAAGGAATGTTACATCCCGCTGTCTGTGTTCCTGCACCTGTTTGGTTTGTCAGGTGTCAGGGGCTGGTGACAGTTTCCACGTGTACAGTGATACACACGTGTCCTTGGGGACACAGTTCAGTCCATGACCCCAAGTGAGTATTGGAAGCATCTCTTTGGACAGGGTGAAAAAGTCAACTGTCCAACAGATGTCTTTCCAGTCCCGGTGGAGAGTGACTTCTGTGACTGCACTCTGTTTTTGCGAACCCTCAAGTCAGAACCGACCCATACCTGACCCTCCAGTGGGTTTTCAGAGGCGGTAAATTGTACTCTCCCGCCGAGCAGCTGGTGGATTTGAACTGCCTCCCTCTGGAACCGCAGCGCAGCTTCTTACCACTAGGCCACCAGATCTCGCTATGGCTGGCCTCTAGGTTTCCATTTGTCTGTCTGTCTTCTGCAGTGTGTTGATGGTGAAGGAAGCTGGGGTACCAGAGAGCCAGGTTACAGGGCATCAGCAGAGCTCCTGAGGGCCTGGCTGGTGGGCTTTGACTCTCCTTCACGTGGGGTGTCTCAAGCCTGCAGGTGGGGCCTGAGGGCCAGCCTTCCCTTGCGTGAGGACTGACTCGGTGCTTGGCCCCTGCTGCCTCGTGCCCAGGGGCTGGGGCTGGTGGGGCCTGGGTCTCTGGGCAGGCTCCTCCCTGGTTTGCGATCTGCCCGTAGGTACAGTACAGGGGTGCCCAGCTCTGTGCCTGACAGCCGGAATGCTGCTAGGCCCACTGGACCTGTGGCTGAGGAGCCCACCAGCCTCCAGCCTTGTAGCTGTGGAGTTGAGGGAAGTTAAACTCTGTAAGGAGCTTGTCCTGACACTTGTGTCCAATGTCTTGCCACAGTCCTGTGGAGCTGGTGGTTTCTGTGGTCGCAGTCTCGTGGCCCAGTGCCCACCTCACTGGCATGGCTGTGGGCCTGTCAGTGGCTGGGTCCTGTAGCACCCGTTTCTCAGGCATCACGTTCTCATTTGACCAGTGCTGTGGGTCACGATGTGCAGAACACAGGCATCTCTGCTGTCAGGTCTTCAGTGGAGCCCATGGCCAGACTGCACACGGGGAGGGACATGGGGCAGCCTTCCCTGTCACAGCTCACAGGCCAGGAGAACTTGGGGTCCCCAGCCCAAGAGTGAGCTTTGTGACAGGGCCTAGCCTGGGGCGAGATCACTTCTTCTGTTGCAGTTCCAAGCTTGAAGAAGGGACAGGAGATAATGGGGGCCAGGAGCAGGGAGAACCCCAAGTAGAGAGGACCTCAGTGAGCCTCAAACCCTTGAGAGTAGTAGAGGCCAGAAGGGACGCAGGCAAATGGCCAGCCGGTGCCTGGCAGGGTTTTCATTGATGTGGGGCCTGTGTCTCTGTTTGAGACACAGCAGGTGTGGCCAGGACACTGTGTGTCTCTTGACTGTGGCAGGGCCCTGGGAAGCTGGCAGGTGGAGGGAGAACAGAAAGTTTCGCTCTCAGGCTGTGCCCTTGGTGGTTTTCTGCCTCCCCTGCCCTCCCTGGTCTCTGCTCTTTGCTGGGAGGTCTCCACTGGACCCTCCTGAGAGACAGCTGACACTTGCTGAGACCTTGGCCTGGTTCTGAGTCGAGGGGGAGAAGTCTTACTTTGTCAGGAGCTGAGTGATGTGCATTGGTAGAATGCCCGCTTCCCTCACGGGATGCTAGGGGCTGTGGACAGTGGGAGAGAAACGGGGCCTGTGGCTTCCAGACAGACAGCTCATAAGTACAGAGGCTGTGGGGCTGTTGGAGTCCCTTATGTGGGCAAGGGAGACAGTTGGAAAGGGCTATTTGATGGCTCCTGGTCACACAGCACATGGGGAAGGGTGGCTCTCCATGGTCCCCAAGTGCACCCGAGGGATCTGCCTTGTGGGGTTGACACCAGGGAGGGTTAAACCACTGCCCAGCGTCCCTTGGGAATGGAAGGAGGACCAGGACGGGGTGGAGGTGGGGGTCTTCTCCTTGAGCAGATGCAGCCATAGCCGGTCAGGTGAGGTTGGCCTGGGGACAGTGGCGTGCGTGTGAACCAGGACTTTGTCTGGAGAGACCAATCTGTTGGCCAGTGGTGGAGGGCACAGCTGACCCCCTCTGTGGTCTCGGAGGTGCAGTGTGCATCACCACAGGCCGATTCACCACGCTGGATTCACCTCACTCTAAACTTGCTGGCGTTTTGTCACTACAACTCTCTGGTTGTAATTACAGCCCCGTGGTACCGCCCAGCCCAGAGATTGAAAATTCATGTGAGTAACCGTGTGATCATCTGAGCGACCACAGGCTTGCACAGCCTCACAGAGCGTACCCGGGCGGATCAGCTGGTTGGTGACCAGCAGACCCTCCTGGGGAGCAGGCTCGCCAGTCTGGGGGTGCGGTTTGGGCAGGTGACATGGAGCAAAACGGGTGTTTTCTGAGGGCACACCGCCCGCACAAGCTCATGAACCTGATGTGTTCTGCCCCTGGTGGTTGGTTGACCTCTGACAGTTAAATCATTGGGCTCTTTTGAACCCTGATTCTTTCCCAGAACTGCTTATTTTTTAAATGAGGTGAGACCTGAAGCTCTTGCTGCAGAGGGTCAAGGGCTGGAGCCTTCAATGAGGATTGAGGCTCAATGTCAAGAAGACAAAGATTCTCACCACTGGACCAATTGGCAGCATCAGGATGGATGGTGAAGAGATTGAGATTGCTAACAGCTTTAGTCTGCTTGGCTCCATGGTCAACACTCTTGGCACCAGCAGCCAGGAAATCAAAAGTCATATGGTGATGGAAAGTCTTGTTAGGGACCTCTCCAAAGTACTGAAGAGCAATGGTGTCACTCTGGAGACTAAGGTGCGCCTGACACAGGCTATGGTCTTCGCAATCACTTACTGTGCCTCAGAGAGTTGGACAGTGACTAGGGAGGATAGAAGGAGAATTGATGCCTTTGAGCTGTGGTGCTGGAGTAGAGTATTGAATATACCATGGACTGCTAAGAGAACAAACAGGTTCCTCCTGGAGAGGGTTAAGCCAGGCTGCTCCTTGGAGGCAAAGATTCTGAAGCTTTGTCTGACATACTTTGGACATGTTGCAAGGAAGGACCACTCCTTGTCATGCTTGGGAGGGTGGAGGGACAGCGCAAGAGAGGAAGACCCTCAATGAGGAGGATTGCTTCAGTGACTGGGGTCATAGGGGGTAGGTGTGTCGGAGACAGTGAGTTTGGCACTATAGAATAGAGCAGGGTTTAGGGCTGTTGTAGAGTCTGTATGAGTCATAGGCGACTCGACGGCACATAACAACAGTGTGGATATGCCAGAGTGCTGCCTCCTGTTACCAAGCTGGCACTCGCGTCTTACAACCTGTGCTCGTGACGCTGTTACGTGCGTTTCTCATGGGCTGCTGAGCTGAGGCGTGAGGCTGCTAACCACAAGATGTGCGGTTGGAACCAGCCGCACTGGGAGATTCGAGGTCTGTCCTGTGAAGATTTCCTTCTTGGGAAACAGAGTGGCCTCTCTCCTGTCTTACAGGGTTGTGAGATCCGGTTGTGCTTGCCAGCAGTGGGTTTCAACTTGGGCTTTTCCAGGGACTTGGGTCACCCCCAGAACCAGATCCCAGCTGTCTGCACCATGGCAGTGCCTCGTTCTGGTGGGGAGAGCGGGTGGAGGGGGCAGCAGGTCCAGGGGCAGCTCGCCCAGGAAGCCTCTCTGTGGATGAGAGAATGTGGTTCCTTTGTGGGTTCCGGTGGCCACAGGCCTGCTCTCCTCATGAGCATCCTGCCCCAGGCAGCAGGCACTCCTGAGGTGGTCCGCGAGCATTGGGGTGCTTGGTTGACTGTTGCCTCTGGCTCAACCTTCACTGAGACTGCAGAGGGTGAGAATGTGCCCCGGGGTTCTGGCTGCAGGCTCATCCATTGGGATTCTTTCCCGCCAATCAGAGCCGTCTGCCTTCCCTGGGGTAAGTGGTGCAGGACGGGCATGCCTAGTCCCCCCCTCCCCACGCATGTCATTTTGGGGCAGCACTTGTGTTGTGGTTGGCATTTGAGGGTCCTCATGTGCACGCAGTCAAAGACACTGAGTGGGCAGCCCCTCACGCAGCCTTGGGGACTGAGGGAAGCCTAGACCCCTCGCTGAGGGAGGAGCTCTCTCTGGGGCTCTGGGAACATTTCCCTCAGATTCTTGGAGGAGGAGACTACTCTAAGCGAGTCCCCCAGAGGCCTGAGGGCTAGCCCCTGGCCATCGCCCGGTGGCTTTTTCTGCCGAGACTGGCGGACGGTTGGGTTTGGGGGACCTGTCCTGAGCAGCAGATGCTGGTGTTTCAGCAAATGCCGTCCTCCCTGCCTTTGTAGCTGGACCACGCTGTGCCCCTGTGCACGTGCACACGTGTGTGTATGCACGTACGTGTGCTCACAGGCATGTGGGTGCACATGCAAGTGTGTGCGCACAGACGGGCTTGTGTACATGCGTGCCGCGTCCGACGCGGACTTCTGCACTGCTCATCTTTTGGGTGGTGAAGTACTTTGGTTTGCATTCCAGTTTCTGGTACTGGCTTGGAGAACACACGTTTCTCACCTCTTAGCGGATGTCTCGGGGAGCTCTGGTGGCTCGGTGGTAAGAAGCTGCTCTGCTAACCCAAAGGCCGGTGGTTTGAATCCACCAGCTACTCAAGGTCAGCGAGATGGTCTCCTCCCGTGTGCTTTGGAAGCCCGCTGCAGGGCCAGCTGGGAGTCTTTTCTGACCAGAGGTCCTCAGCGTTTCGCGTGGAGCTTTATCAGGATCTGCAGTCGGTCATTGCCCACACCCTGCGGGGGCGCCGAGACCTTGGCACACTGCCCTCCCACCCCACACAGACAGTCGGCTGCCCTGTGTTGCTCTGGGAGTTCTTGTTCATCTACCCCCTTCCGATTTGTTCCCTCTGCTCTCACTAACCTCTGTGGAGTGTTTGTGAATGCCTTTTCTCTCACTGTCACCGTCTTCATGAACCATCCTTCTTGACCATGAGAGGTCGGCCCGTCACCTCTTAGCCTCACGCTTCTTGCTGTTTCTCATGTGCACCTTCTGCTTTGCTCTAACTTCATCCTGCTGTGGACGCACGGGGGGCACACTGCCAGCACCCCCGGG